AGTGAGAAACTTCTAAAGGACACAGCCTTAGAGAGCCCCTGCCCCTCAGGCTCTCCTCCAGAATCCCCACAAAGCACTACACAGGATCTCACTCACTGAACCTCACCACCTACTACTTGCTCAGTGCACTGTGACTCTGCTAAWGCCCTTCAAGATCTTWCACTGCACTAGGAACATTCCTGCCTCAGGGCTTTTGGACTTGTCGTTTCTTTGGCTTGTCATGCTCTTCCCTAGGTAAATAAGCACCACTCTCACATCCTGTGTCCAAATGGCTCAGGCAGGGGTTGGAGAAAGGTAACCACTGTGAAAAGAGCAACCATTCTCCAGAACAGAAACCTACTCTCCAAGGAAAAGGACTTCACCAGAGCTTTGTCCCATGACAGGGAAGGCATTTCTCCTACTCCAGGCTCTTGTCTCATGCAAGGTGCTAGTGGTTGTGGAAAAGTAAGAAACAGCAGTGAAAGTCACACCCCAGAAATGCAAGCTCACTCAACACTATGATCTAATCATAGACCACAGAATCCTTCTTTCCTCTCTACTATGCCACTATACCAAAAAGCCTCCAGCACAATTCTAGAGAATTACAGCTTAAAGAGTTGAAGACTCAAATTCCTTCTGGGAAAGAAATGAACATAAAGAAATTATAGGAATCAGAAGTTTCTGGCCCCTTTGGCTACAGAAAACACGAACTTCTAGTCAGATTAGCAGAAAATCTCACCAAATAAATGGCCTATTTACCTCCGTTCTTTTATTCAATACACTATGTCTGACTTTCAACAACAAAGAAATTATAAGGCAGACTAAATGGCAAGAAGAAACATAGTCTAAGTATATAAAGCATTAGAATGAGACCCACAGATGATTTGGATATTGGAATTATCAGATAGGAACTTGAAACAACTATGATTGAGTTATTCAAGGTTACAGCTAAAAAAGAATATTAAAGAAAAGATAGATAATGTCAGCTGAGAGATGGAAACTGTAAGTGAGAAACAAAAGGAAAGACAAGAAATAAAAACCACTAAGATAAATGATTAATGCCTTTGATGTGCTCATTATCACCCTAGACATGACTGAGGAGAATATTAACGGACTTGCAGATAGGTCAGAAGAAACTTCTCAGCCAAAATTGCAAAGAGAAAAGAAAAATTTAAACAAAACAGAAAAGAAAATTTAAGAATGATGGGGCAACTGCAAAAGATAAACATGTGTGCAATTGGAATAGTAGGAGGAGATTCAAAATAGAACAGCGCTGAAGACTTCAAGTCATAATGACAGAAAACTTTTCTGAAGTAATAGATACAGGGAGTTCAGGGAACATCAAACAAGGTAAATACCCCAAATCAAAGCCTAGCATTTTTCAAATTGCTGAAAATCAAAGGCAAAGAGATGTGCTTAAAGAAATGGATAAGCTAACTCATAGAGAAGCAAAAATATCAATTTTAGTGGACTTCTAAAATATGCTAGAAAGAGAATACAGTGAAATTTTGAACGGTTGAAAGGGAAAAACCCACCAGCCTATAATCCTCTATCCAGTGTATCATGGTTTGATTTGGTGTGTATATTTTTGTCCATCTATTCTGACTTGACTCTGTGACTTCATCTTGTCTTGCAGCTTAGGAAACATCTGTAGCTATGGAGCTTCAATTTTATCTCTCTAACCTGGATCCCAGACTTGCATTACCCAACAGCCTCACCAACATATCCACTTGAACATCTTACTAAGTGTCTTAACTTTAACATGGCTAAAAACAAGTTAAAATGTTGTTCATTAATAAACAGCTACAGCTGACTAATAAACACCTACACTTTTTAGCTAACACTCTCAGCTCTATAATAATTCAGAAGCAGTGTGATTTGTAGATGCAAAGTAAGGCCATGTCTACAAATTACCACCAAATTATCACCCCAATCGCTTTACCCTTCTTGCAGTCCTTCCCATCTCAACTAAGGGACACTTCAAGTTCATCATTCCAATTATTAGGCCATAACTCTTGGAACTCTCCTCAGCTCTTCTTTACATAGATGCTCCTTTCAAAATAAATCCAGAATCTATGTTTTTTATCACCTCCACTGATACCATACTTGTCTACATTACTGTCATTTCTCGCCTGAATTATAGCAACAGCTTCCTAATTGGTCTTTCTGCTTCTGCCTTGGCCTTCCTTAAGAATCTCTTCTGAACAAATTGACCAGAGTGAGCCTCTGTATATTTAAGTAAGACCATGCCTCTGCTCAAAACTTGGTTTCCCCATCTTAGAGTGGAAACCAGAATCCCCACAAAGCACTACACAGGGTCTCACTCACTGAACCTCACCACCTACTACTTGCTCAGTGCACTGTGACTCTGCTAAAGCCCTTCAAGATCTTTCACTGCACTAGGAACATTCCTGCCTCAGGGCTTTTGGACTTGTCATTTCTTTGGCTTGTCATGCTCTTCCCTAGGTAAATAAGCACCACTCTCACATCCTGTGTCCAAATGTCACCTCAGTGAAGCCCTCTATAAGGACCCTTTTGAAAACAGTCCCCTGACATTCTCTCTCTGCCAGTCCATCACTTAAAGAGTCCATTGCTTAATGTAGCATTCTTATTTCCCTTCTTGTGTCTCTCCTTATACTAGAATGTAGGTTCTATAAGGGCAGAAATTTTTGTGTGTTCTCTAGGCAGCAAGTTGAACAGTGCCTAGCACAAGGCAGGGACTAAATTCAATATTGGCTGAATGAATACATGAAACAAAAGGGTTTTGAAAATGGCTCTGGAAAGTGTTCTAACTAGATCTACTGTCAAAACTACTTTAACTGCTTACTTGAACTGGAATATTTGGCAATGGGGCAAAAAGCATTAGGGAAAGAATATGTAAAAATCCAATTCCCTCTGCTGTATGACCTATTTTCCTTAGTAGAATACATTCAAGGATCAATGTTGTACATGTATCAGAGCTTCCTTCCTTTTTATGGCCAAATAATATTCTACTGTTCATCAGGTGACAGGTAATTGGGTTGTTTCCACTTTTTGCTATTCTAAGTAACACTGCTATTTCAGAATAATCAATTGTTCTAGTCTGCCTGAGAATTAAGCGGATTCTCAGGATGCACAGCTTTCCAAATGGCAATTCCAGCAGGGTATGGTGGCACATGCTTGTAATCCCAAATATCCAGGAGCTGAGGCAAAAGAATCACAAGCTGGAGACCAGTCTTGGAAACTCAGTGAGACCCTGTCTCAAAACCAAAAAGAAATGAAAAGAATTGGGGTATAGCTCAGTGGTAAAGCACCCCTGGGTTCAATCCCTAGGACCAAAAACAAACAAGAACTTGGAAATTCATGGGAAATTCCTCACTCTACTTTTCTTCTCCACTGCATGTATTATACACTAATGATAAATTATGAAACAGCTATCAGTAATAATAAATAAATGACAGGGGCTGGGGATGTGGCTCAAGCGGTAGCGCGCTCGCCTGGCATGCGTGCAGCCCGGGTTCGATCCTCAGCACCACATACAAACAAAGATGTTGTGTCCGCTAATAACTTAAAAAAAAAAATAAATATTTTTTTAAAAAATAAATAAATAAATAAATAAATGACAGCCAAAGGAATAATCCTAACTGACTTTTCAGACTATTTCAGGATATCTTCTTTCAATAAATTTAGGAAACCACCTACTATTGCAAATATTACTCTACTATGGAATAATCAATTTATCTATTTTAGAATTGTTCAAAGTAATGACCAAGAAATGGTAAAATTAGGAGATTGGGTATGAAATCCTAGTGTGAATTCTTATGTCCAGTAAGTCAAAATATAAGAAAATCACATTAAAATTTCACTTACTCAAGATAAAAGAAGACCACGCCATGTCAAGGAAACTCACATAAATAATCTTATGTAGGTACTCAATCTCAAGTTAGCTACTAAGGTTCAAGCCAAGAAGCTATGGGCATAAAGACGGGATGTCATAACTAAAGGTCACAAATAAATAGTCACACTAAACTTTTAAATTTATTTTTAAAAGCAGCAGTCCTCCTAATATAAGGATTATTATATACAAATATCTATAGGATATCACATTTCAAGCAGCTTTATATTGAAAAATACTGAGGAATCAAGAACAAATAAATGTTGAGTATGTAAATGCTTATAACAACCCATCTATAAAATATTTTTCCTTGAGCCTTCTACATCACATTGTTCTTTATAACTATAGTTACTGGAAGCTTGTAATCAGCCATTACTGTTACCCCCTTCCTGGAACTTTTTACATTATTTATAATGCTTGATTCAGGCCATTGATATTAAATGATTCAGGAGACAGGGACAATGTGTTTTTCCTTGGAATATATTTTATGACTAAATGTTTCTATTTTGAAAAGCTATAGGGTGGGCAAATATATACAAACCTCCTTTGATAATGTTTCCAACTATGTCCATGTTCACACCCTTTACATTGGCTCACAGGAAATAAGTATTGCTCCCAAAGGGACTGACTTCACTATCAATGCATAATATGTTTCAAATTCAATAACAAACAAAATGAATAATATTTTGCCTTCACTTTTTTGGGTGGTACTGGGGGTTGAATCCAGGGACACTTTACTCCTGAGCTATATCCCTGGTCCTTTATATTTTATTTTGAGACAGAATCTCACTAAGTTACCCAGACTGACCTTGAACTTGAAATCTTCTGCCTACATCTCCTAAATTACTGGGATTATAGCCATGTGTCACTATTCCCTGCTCACTACATTTGAATTGAATCAATTCTCCTATGAGAAAGTTATTCTTTCTGCCTTAAGTTAAAATGGAATGTATAGATTTCAATTCAATTGGGTCTTGTGTGTGTGTGTGTGTGTGTGTGTGTGTGTGTGTGTGTGCAGTGCTGGTGAAGGACCCAGGGCCTTGTACACACCAGGCAAGTGCTCTGCTACTGAGCTCTATCCCCAGAATTGGGTCAAATGTTTTAAGAAATGTTAATTCATGAATAATATGAAATGTACATATCATACTTAATTTCACCATAATCTCCTCATCAGTCAAATTCGTATTCTTCTTCTGTTTGTCTGAAGACTTGGCACCACTGTCGACAATCCTGTCACCAAGAGGAGCAGGAACAGCGTCAGTTATAGACTGGGTGGAAATCTGTAGAGATATAGTTCATGCCTGAGATTTGAAAAAAATATTTTCAGATATTCTTACTGGTACACTTTTCAGAGTTCCTTAATATTTTAATCAAAACTAAGTTATTTCTCTTGTTGTTCTAAAGAATGTCATACTTGAAGACTTATAAAAAAGCACATATGAAAAAAATGTGAAACATTTTTCTTTGCCATAGCATGAATGTATTTAAAAATGAAACCAGCAGCTGGATGCAGCAGTGCATGCCTGTAATCCCAGGGACTTGAGAGACTGAGGCAGGAGGATTCCAAGTTGAAAGTCAGCCTCAGCAACTTAGTGAGGCCCTAAGCAATTTAGTGAGACTCTGCTAATATAAAAAAATAAAAAGTGTCACTGGGTTCAATCCACAGTGCCCCCCCAAAAAAATATACCAAGTAAAACAGCAGGTCTATGAATAAAATTTATGTGTGCCCAGATGTAAAATAGTATAACAAGGGCTGGGAGTGTAGCTCATTGGTAGAATGCTTGCTTAGCATGTGTGAGGTACTGGGCTTCTGCCTCAGCACCACAGAAAAAATAAATACATAAAATAAAGGTATTGTGTTCATCTACAACTAAAAATATTTTTTAAAGTTAAAAAAATAGTAAAATGACATAGTAAAAAAGCAGGACACTTTAAAACTAATGTTTTTCATAAAGAAAAGATAAAATGCAAAAGACTAGAAATCTTAACGTTGAAATGACTAATTTCCAAAAAATAATTTACACAAATATAATGCCTACCCTCCCTTTCACTTTAAAGAGCCAGTTGTAAGGAATATAGAAAACACAGCCATCTGTCATGAGATGGGAATCCAATGACAGTCCTCGGAGCCACCACATCACAGTCCAGCCCCCTTAGTAGTTCTCTCCCTGGCTCCCTCTGAGCTCATTACTGTTGAAATTCTCCTCAGCTGGGGAGGAATTTCACTCTCAACTGTCTTTAGAATGCCATCAAGGCTTTGAGAGAAATGTCAAAAGGAGAAATAAAGTACATAATCTGGGGAAGAGGAAAATCTGAGTTTTAGATAGAAGAGTTACCCACATTATGAAACAGAAAAAAAAAAAAACAGAGAAATAGATGACCTCTGGAAAAGGGGGTAACACATGGAAAGAAAAAACTGAATGAGTTAAGTATTCTAACTTTTAAAGAAGCCATAGATTTTTATTTTTCAAAAAAGTAGTTTTTGTTGAGTGTCCTTTCCATAAAAAAATTAACTTAATCTTAAATTAATTTTTTCATAGTAAAAAATTTAAACTTGAAGTGTTTTTGAAATTATCACTGAAAGTCAAACACAAACAACTGTCTTTAGAAACACACATGCACAGATGTACACACCAGGTCATTAGTCACTCACTGGTTTTGTATGATCTGGTCGTGGGGCAATGACAGGCTGCACCTCTCCATCATCACCATCATCTTCCTCTGTTACTACTGCTGATGGTTCTGACCCCTTGGTGTTCAGCTGCATTCATCACAGGAGCAAAGGAAGACAAGCCAGGAAAATTCAAAGGTTAATATGTGACCATGTCTCTTTTTTTTAAACAAACTTTAAGAAGTTATTTTTTCAATAGCTAATTTTTAAATGATTAAATCTCACTGCTTCCAATATAATCAAATAAAAAGTAAAGATGATTTTATGAAATATGAGAAAGTAAATATATGAAATAAATGTATATGATAAATATTCTTGAGTACTATTTAGAAACATATGAAATAGTTCTTTAGGTCTTATATTAGAAGGCAAAATAAAAACAGATTTGTTTTTGGTAACCTTAATTAGAACAAGAACTATAAGAAATAAATCATCAACTTACTGCTGGTGTTCCAGAAGGGAAGCAATCCTTCTCTGAAAATGAAAGAGAAAGGAATGTTAACAATTCATCAAAGAAAACTTTTATATGATAAAAAGAAAAATAATATAAAAGAGGAGCAAATGAAATGTTTTAAAACTGATTTCATTTTAAGTAAAATGACAGTAGTAGTAATATAAAAATAATAATTCATATAAGGCTCAGCTATTAACTCTATAATCTTAATGAAACCTTAAAAATACATTTTTTAAAAAACCTGAATTGATCATTAAAATGGTTCTGACCCCTTTGATTGATCATTAAAATGATATATAATTTACTTCAATAAAGTTATTAAAATGTAAGGGAGTCCTGGCCTGGTAATTATATGCTTATAATCCAAGGGGCTCAAGAGGCAGAGACAGGAGGATCTTGAGTTCAAAGCCAGCCTCAGCAATTTAGCTAGGTGCTAAGGAACTCAGTGAGACCCTGCCTCTAAATAAAATATAAAATAGGGCTGGGGATGTGGTTCAGTGGTTGCCTACTAAGGAAAAAGGAGATATAAAGCCACCTACCATGGCAACTGTGAAAAGAATTATTTTTGACATGTTTTGTTTCTTTTTAATATGAAACTTACTAGTTGACACAAAAGTTCTAGGTAAAAGTCTGACCTTTTCCTAAGGATACCAGATTAAAGTAAAAAAGGTCAAGATCAGTATTACTTGAAAAGAAGTCTATTTCTTTTTTGAACATAGCCTTTATCTCTGTGATGATGTAAACATACTAAATACAATTAATTCAAACCACATATGATTGTTGCATAATTAACATTATTTTAAAAAACCAGATATGAGACTTTAGAGACAGATAAACATTAAATAAAAATGATATCCTGGGGGGTATAATTGGAAAAATCTACACTAAGGACAAAAATCTAAAAATCTAACAAGAGAAATGATCCTGCATCTTTTAAAGTACAATACAAGGAAGAGAAAGCAGGAGAACCAGTGTGGGGAAAGGGAGTCTAAATCTCAAAGGGACCGCTCAACCAACTGCAACACCTGGACTTCATTCTGATGCTGCTTTAAACAAACTATTTTTAAAAACCCAGTATATTCCTATTCTTACCCACTGATATTCTAATTCGGAGATATAAATCCTTTTAGTTATAATGTTTATTTTTATGTAATTTGCTTGCAATTTTTGAGAAAAAAAACTGTTTTTACTTCAAGGTCTGGGCATTTATATAGCAAATATTCCTTATATACCACTGACAATAAACATATTTCTAGCATAAACATGTCTATAAATCCACACTTTTTCTTTCTAAACTTAAAATCATTTAAAGCAGTGAGGAGCAAAAACCCCAAGTAAATGTAACAATATGAAACAAGGGTCAATCCCACTCTCATGTTTAATTATAATGTATAAAAAATATGGAAAAAATGTAAAACATCCCATTCCATTTCTAACAAAACTATGAGATCAATGTAATCCTCAGACTCCAAATTACGCTCAAGAGCCATCTGAACAGTTGACAAAAAGCAGCATTGATGTAGGAGAAAGTAGAAATGATATAGCTTAGCCTTGTATTTTTCTAGAAATAATCTTTTTATCTATGAGTACTTCACAACTTTCCATATGATTCAGTGTTTTACCACTGTCTTATGTCTTACCAGGAGGAGTAAATTTAGATTTTTCTGCTTCACTGTATTGGAGTCACAGAACTTTAAGACACCTGGCAGAGCTTGAGGATTCTCCTTTTCTCTCCTTTGGTGACACTGGAGGTTTGTGCTTGGCTTCATAAATTATTATTATTATTGTTATTATTATTATTATTATTAATATTTAGTTTGTTTTTTTGAGATATAAGGTTTCACCATTTTCTCCAGGTTTATCTCGAACTCATGGACTCAAGTGATCCTTGTGTATCATTCTGCAGAGTAGATGGAACTACAGGCATGTTCCACCAAGCCCAGCTTTAATGTTTATTCTTTAAAAAAAAAAAACAACAACAAACTTTTTTAGTTGTAGATGGACACAATACCTTTATTTTATTTATTTTTGTGTGGTGCTGAGGATCAAACCCAGGGCTTCATGTATGCTAGGCAAGCACTCTACTACTGAACCACAACCCCAGCCCAAATGTTTTTATTCATTTATTTGGTTTTGGCAGTACTGGGTATTGAAGCCAAGAAAATTGTACCACTGAGCTACATTCCCAGCCCTTTTTACTTTGAGTTAGGGTCTTGCTAAACTGGCCAGGCTGGTCTCAAACTTATGATTCTTCTGCCTCGCCTCCTGAGCTACTGTGATGTTAGGAATATGTCACTATGCCCAGTCATCCTAAATTGCTGTTTTTTTTTTTTTAATTTTCTGGGTTTCTTATCACATGTAAAAGGTTTATCAATATGAGATTATATAGCCAAGTGTGATGGCATGTACCTATAGTCCCACCTGCTCAGAAAGCAGCAGCAGGAAAAATCACTTGAGCCCACAAATTTTAGACCAGTCTGAGCATCACAGGAAATCCTATCACACCCCCCAAAAAATGGGAAAAAAAGATAAAAGTGGGGCACTCCAATAACAGTGAGAAAATAACCCGCATTTAAATGCAAGGTTTGTGGTGTGGCTCAATGCTGGAGTTCTTGTATAGTATGCTGAAGGAGAGAGTTTCCATGCTTATTCATATTAGCCCCAAAGTAGAAATTTAAAATATCCAATTCCTTCTATATAATGGAATATAAATATATAAAAGTCCAAGTCCTCTGTATAATGGGAGTATATATATATATATATATATATATATATATATATATATATAATTTTTTCCCAGCTCTGGGGGGGGCTGAACCCAACCATATCCTACCACTGAGCTTGATCTTCAGCCCTTTTTATTCTGAGATAGAGTCTTGCTAAATTGCTGACGCTGGCCTAAAACTTCTGATCCGTTGCCTCAGATTCCTCAGTTGCTGGAATTAGTCATGTGCCACCAAACTCAGTTTACAATCTCTTTTCCAGCCAGTCCGGTGGTGAACACCTGCCCTCCAGCACTCAGGATGTTGAAATAGGAGTTCAAGACTGGCCTGGCCAACATAGTGGGACTCCATCTCCAACAAAAAGAAAACCCACAAAACTTATGGTCAATTTTCCTTTGCTTTTCCACCTCTTTAGATTGATTCGAGGGGTGTATTACCATTGGCCTACATCCCCAGGACTTTTGATGTCATTATTGTTTTTTATTTTAAGACAAAACAATTCTCTTTCAGTTGTAGATCCTCAACTTGTGATTCTCCTGCCTTAGCCTCCTGAGTAGCTAGGGTTGTAGATGTGTACCCTGCACCCAACACTATATTCTGTTTTCAAGTATGCAATACATTAACAGTAGCTACCATATGGACCTTTATACCTCTGAAACTTAAACATGTTGAACTAAAACTTTGTAATTTCTGACTAATATAGTAGCCTATTAGAACTAAAAATAAATAGGTTTGCTTTCTATTTTAATGTAATCATTTCAGGTACATTTGGTATTATCCAGGCTGGTGGGTGTTCTCCCATCTCCAGTGCTTGCCAGAAGGCCAGCCAGGTCAGTCATTGTGATTATTACTGTTGCCACATTTTAAGGGTGAGAGAAATGCTAAATGTCTTGCCCAAGGTCAAAGAGTCAGGCAGTGTTGGTTCCTGAGCTTGGGTCTCCAGAGAGCAAGGATCTTCCCTTCCAGGAGGGATTTGTTCCAGCCCCTCAGAGCCTCCACCAACCCCCAGGGAACAGCTTCTCTGAACCTAGAACAGACAGGCACAGCAGGCATAGGAAGAACCAAAAAATATGTGTATATAACAGACGTGGGAGTCTTGCCACTTTCAACAGGAGAGTGAGTGAGGCCTCAGGCACAAGAGACCCCCACATGGAGCTCAGGAGATGAACTTCTGGTGCATGTCCTGGCATTGCTGTGTGAAGGGTGAATGGAAGGCCAAGCCTCCTCTAGAAGCCTTCCAATATACCACTGGGCTGATGGGAAGCTAAACACAGAGTCAGTACATGGGGGATCTCCCTACCCTCCATCCCATAGCTCACAGTCAAGTCCCAAGGCAGGACAAAAAAGAGGGCAGGCACCACGTCACTGCAAGGGCTCATGGGGCCACCATGGGTGACCCACCCCACTGCACTCCTAATGCTCCACTCCAAATATTTCACATGGTACATCAAATAAAAATTTCCATTTAAAAAATAATCTGGGCTGGGGTGGTGGCACATGGGTAGAGTGCTTGCCTAGCATGCATTAGGCTCTGGGTTTGATCCCTGACACCACATAAAATAAACATATAAAATAAAGATATTATGTCCAACATATATATATATATATATATATATATATATATATATATATATACATATATATATATATATAACAGAATTTTCATTAAAATCATAAAGTACAAGATTAGTCTCAGTCCTCATTAATAGTGGAGGAAACTGAGGCCCAAAAAGGTGAGGGACTAGCCCAAGGAGAAAGTTATTGACACAGTCCTTTGTCTTTGTCTATCCAGGGACACCTTGGTGTGCTCTGAAGCCCTGTGACCTGGACCTTCCAAACTCCAAGTCCATAATCCCACTCCTTATGCTCCACGTGACTCAGCTTTAGGACCATCCCAATCTGTGGAGCTTCCCCCAACACATGTGCAACCCAAAGACCCCCATGTTTCAAAGCACACCCAATATTCCTCACCTCCTGTAAAGGTACAGACTTTTCACACCATGGGGGGTGCCTGAGTTGCAGACCTGGGCCCAAGGAGGTCTTTAAGATGTTGTGTTAGCCCCCAGGTGGTGCCCTGCTCCACCTGAAGGCATACAGCTCTGACATGTACCTGGGAAGCAACAGGCCAAATGCAAGAAGTCACTACCCACCTTGGCCTGGTCTCCCTGACCACTCTCACCCCTCAGCTGGGAAAGCACAGAGCCCAGGGCTCTCATCCAGGAGCCTTATCCAGGCTGCCATTCCCCTCTACCACATTTCTTGGGCAAGAACCTACAATACCAAGGAAGAGTGAAATTCCCAGAAACTCTGAGTGGCCTGGAGAAAACCCCAAAGGAAAGGAACAGGGAGTGTTAAGGCCTGGGAGCTAGGGACAGGGACCAGGGAAATAGACCCAGCTTCACCTCACCTCACCAACTCACTTGGGTCCCAAGGGTGCACATAATGTGAGGTAACAGTTTCTTGTGCAGCCCTCATCGAATGGGTTATCATGCTGGAGGGAGATGAGGAAGGGAAGAGGAGCTCAGAATCAGCAGGACTGGGCAAGGGCCTCTCCCAGTGATCCTCGCTAAGTTGGTCAGTTAATCCAGGTCTCAACCTGGGCTTGTGTCAAGGCTCCAAGGACATTGGAGACCAAGAATAACCCAGGGCCTCCTGCTTTTCCAGGCTCYYAGGAAGMGTGACCTCCCTCGACCTACTTCTGAGCAGCTTTCCCCAGACAGTGCTGACCCAGCACCCACCTCTCCTGCCTTTTCAGGGCTCCTCATCAGCTTGTTTCCCTTTGCAGGATCATTGCTCTATCTCAACTGACCACACCTGTCCTCCCACCATGTTCTTCCAGATATCTTTTAATATCTTTCTAGTGCTGCTCTGCTCAATGATCCAAAGATGGTGTCACCACCATGCTCCCACTTTACTCTCTTACCTCTCGATTTTTTCTAAAAATCTACCTTCATTGAATTTCACCATCTGGGAGATCAGTAGCAGAGGGGCTTGCCAAAACATATTTTCCTAGTCAAATATGGAAAATCTGGGCTGAAGGCCTTAAGTACACAAAGCAGGAAAGGTCAAGCTCAAGGGTCATGTCCTTCCCTGGACACTGACTGGCTTCTCCTCTCCCTTATTCTACTTTCTCTTTCCCCTGAGTTCATCCTCAGACCAGGTTGAGTTTCACCCCAACTTCATGAGCTTAAATAGCAAACACTGTTATAATGGCAAGTGTCCCAGCAGCACCTCTATCCACCCCCAACTCTCCCACACATGAAGACTTTGTTCTTCAACACTCTTCTCCACTAGAAGGAAAGAACTGCTCTGGAAAATATGTCCAAAAAACAACATGAATCATAGTACTCTATGAGGTTCTGCCTCTTTAAGGTGTTCACAGCACTTAAGAAATTAGTATGCTGCCAGGTGCACTGGTGCACACATAATCCCAGAAACTTGGGAGGCTAAGGATGGAGGATCACAAGTTCAAGGCCAGCCTCAACGACTTAGCAAGCCATCAACAATTTAGTGACACCCTATCTCAAAACAAAATATAGCAAGGTTTGGGGATGCAGCATCAGTGGTAAAGCATCCCTGGGTTCAATCCCTAGTACCAGAAGAAATAAATCAATTAATGGCAGAGTATTAAAAAACTACAGAATTTTCAAACGTAAAAAATTTTAAATTATATATATATATATATAACTTATATATATATATATATGAATCTACATTACATACAATCAATATTTTCTAGATTCATATATATATATGAATCTACAAAATATTGATTGTATGTAATGTAGAGGCAATGCTGAAAAGAATGATAATTATCAATTTTTAAGAACTGAGCAGTAAATTTGAATACTTCTCTCTCCCCACATGTAACCCTATCACATACAAATAGAGTCCAACACCTCTGAGGCACCCAGACCAGCCTCTCTCACTGGCTCCACTCCTGGGACTCTTGCTTCAATTCTGTGTCTCAAACACCCTCACACTCCACAGGACCAAAATCCAGTGGCATCTTTTTCTTGCCCCATCTTCTGAACAACTTCCTGCTG